ATTACTCCATCCCACCAGTCACCTCCTGTTGTTCTCCAACTGTTCCATAAAAGTTGCTCCCATGGTTGAGAAGGGAAGCAGGCACTGAAGTGAAGCAGTTGAAAGGCTCGTTTTTCAAATCGACAGGGCAGGGGTGGGGTGGGGGCTTTTAACTTATTGCAAAACAAACAAGGTACAAGCCCACAGTTGAAAACCAATAACCCATTCACCCCTTGGAGGATAGAAGGGTTGCAGTGCTCTGACATCATCACATTCTCTCAGGGGCTACCTCCCAGAAGCTGTTTGTTTGTTTTTTAATTTCCCAGAATACCCCAGCATAGGGATGGGGTACCCGAAGGCTTGCAGGCCTCTCTCTCCAGCCTTCCAGGCTGCCGTGGAACCTCCTGAAAACTGCATGGCCTCCATGACAACCATGGTGCTCTCTCAAAAGATCATCAGTCCAACACATCAGGCAGGGCACAACCTCAGTGCAGTCTTTGCCCCCAAGTAATTACAGGGTGGTTCGCAACATAAAAAACCCCACAGTATTAAAAAGCATCTCTCCTTGTGCCCTCCATCTCTCCCAACATCAGGGTCTTTTCCAGGGAGTCTTCTCTTCTCATGAGGTGGCTGAAGTATTGGAGCCTCAGCTTCAGGATCTGTCCTTCCAGTGAGCACTCCAGGCTGATTTCCTTCAGAATGCATAGGTTTGATCTTCTTGCAGTCCATGGGACTCTCAAGAGTCTCCTCCAGCACCATAATTCAAAAGCATCAATTCTTCGGCGACCAGCCTTCTTTATGGTCCAGCTCTCACTTCCATACATCACTACTGGGAAAACCATAGCTTTAACTATACGGACCTTTGTTGGCAAGGTGATGTCTCTGCTTTTAAGATGCTGTCTAGTTTTGTCATTGCTTTTCTCTCAAGAAGCAGGCGTCATTCCACAAATGGGCAGCCACTGCAAAAAGAGCCCATTTTGTGTTGCCACCCTCTGGACCTCTTGTGGAGGAGGCACACGAAGAGGGGGCTAAGAGAATGATCTCTGGGTCCAGGTAGGTTCATATGGAGAGAGATGGTCCTAATACTGTTATACAAATCGACTGTGCGACTGCATTTGGGATACTGCCTAGAGCTCACCTCAAATAAGGATATTGTAGAGCTGGAAAAGGTTCAGAAAGTGGCAGCCAAAATTGTCAAGGGGGTGGAGTATCTCCTCTGTGAGGAAAGGCTGCAGAGTGTGGGACTTTTTAGTTTAGAGAGAAGGTGACTAAGTGGTGACATGATAGAAGTTTATAAAATTACATGTGGCGTGGAGGAAGTGGTCAGGCTCCAAGGCCCCTTCCAGCACTATATTTCTAGGTTTAACAGGCACCGTGATTACGGTTGGGTCAGGAGAGGTTTTTTATTTTATTTTTATTTTGCTTATTTTCTTTCTCTTACTATAAATAAGATCAGCTGAAAGATGTTGCCATGGTGAGATTGGGTAATGTGCTTAAAGGCACTGGTTACAGTTAAGCACTAATGCACCATCTTCACTGGAATGTGAATTCCGAGGATTCTGGTGCTGGTGGCAGGGAGGGGAGGGGAAAGAAAGAAAGAATTAAAAAGTCTAATTTGTCAAGCCCATTGCTGGGCCTTTCTCTGATCCTCTGTTGCAGGCTAAATACCAAAAGCCGTGAGAGTTCATTTAGGCCTGATGTTACCTAACTGATGTTAGGAATCATAATTAGAAGAATGAAATGTTCAACTCGATAGGCAGTGTGGGAACTTTTCCATCCCAAGGGCCACAGTCCCTTCTAGACAGCCTTCTGAGGGCCACATGCCCAAGGTGGGTGTGGTCAGAGGCAGAAGTAGACAGAGCAACAAGTATAAAGTTTACCTTTGTGCAGTAACCTCATGTCTAAACACATTCACTCCTCCCTATCTTCCACTCAAGCAGCCAAGAAGCATTGTCAGAGTTCAAGGACACATTCCAGCCAGGCAAAAAACAAACCAACCCCAAACTTTGAGATTTGGGGTGGGGCAGGGCTGCATTTGGCCTCCAGGTCTGAGGTTCTGCACCCCTGAACTCTTTCTTTTTCACATCGTTCCAGGCAAGCTGGCTATTTGCAGATCCTCCAAGTGACCGTATTTTCCAGGGACAGCCCCAAATTTACAGAAGTCATCCCAGTTTCTGATTTGATCCCAGAATGTCCCACTTTTCCTTAGGACATCCCTATTTTCATCAGAGCAATTTGGAGGTTATGTAGTTATTTGACCCCTGAACCATCTGAAGACAGCCCTGTATAGGGGAGGTGTTTTTTGTTTAGTGCTTAATGTTTTACAGTGGTACCTTGGGTTACATATGCTTCAGGTTACATACGCTTCAGGTTACAGACTCCGCTAACCCAGAAATATTACCTCGGATTAAGAACTTTGCTTCAGGATGAGAACAGAAATTGTGCAGTGGCGGCACAGCGCAGCAGGAGGCCCCATTAACTAAAGTGGTGCTTCAGGTTAAGAACAGTTTCAGGTTAAGAACGGACCTCCAGAACGAATTAAGTTCTTAACCCGAGGTACCACTGTATTATGTTTTTGTGTATGTTGGAAGCCTCCCAGAGTGGCTGGGGCAACCCAGTCAGATGGGTCAGAGTATAAATAGTACAGTTATTATTATGGAGCAGGACATCCCTATTTTCATCAGAGAAACATTGGAAGGTATGTATTTGGAGTTCTTACAAAAGAGCTCATTTTTGACATTTGGTCTGCTTATTGCCATCACACCCATAAAGAAGACACAAGATGCAATGGTTATGGTAGGGGGAAAGGGTTAGATTTATTAAACATAACAAATGAGGGGATCTGTGAAACCGATTAACCAGATCAGCCAAACCAAAGCAGCCCAAGCAGTCATGCTTGATGTTGGAGCTCAGGAAAGCACTTGCCATTCTCCCAGTTGCTAACCGGCAGTGATGTACAGTGTGGAAAGACAGGAGAGCAATGCAGCCTTGGCGTCTGCTGCCGCCATGAACTCTGGCACCAGTCTGGTCCTAAATACCTTGAAAGCCGCACACAGTTATCAAGTGTTCCTGATTAGGCCTGCCCTGAGCTTGGCAAGGGCTCAGTCTGCATTTCTGAAACAGCCACAAAGCTCTCAGAGGCACTAGCCAGGGCTCGATCTGTGCCCCCAAACTGCCTTCTAATTAGGCTGTACATTTCTTTAGGAGATAAGTGGATGGTCCTGCCGAACGCTCCCTCTTCTACTTATTCACGGCGAACCTTATATTTTTATACCGTCTAGACATTAAAAGCACCAAGGTGTGTATTTTTCTGCCGGCCATAACTCCTTAATTATCCCCTGACCTATCGTTACGCTTAAGAGCGTACATAGTATGAAATTGCCACAATACAAAAGGGCTAGGTTGGGTACCAAAGGGAAAGGTAATCAAAGCCAAACCACACAGAAAAATGAATCAGCAGCGGAAGCTTGAGGTGGGAGAACGGACCATTTCAGCCAGCAGGTGGGGAGTGAGTTTCCAGTATCAAATTTCTGGATACTGATGAGTGGAGAAAAGGAAAGAGGGAATGCAAGGAGATATTTTCTCTTCTGTGCATGCACACAAAGCTGATTCTGTTTTTCTGTTGCATTCCTGGTAGAGTGAGGGTGGGGACTCTCAGGACCAAATGTTCCCGGTCCTGAAGAACCTACATTGGCGCCCAGTATGTTTTCAAGCACAATTCAAGGTGTTGGTGCTGAGCTTTAAAGCCCTAAACGGCCTTGGCCCAGTATACCTGAAGGAACGTCTCCACCCCTATCATTCAGCCCAGACACTGAGGTCCAGTTCCGAGGGTCTTCTGGCAGTTCCCTTACTGCGAGAAGTGAGGTTGCAGGGAACCAGGCAGAGGGCCTTCTTAGTAGTGGCACTCTCCCTGTGGAACACCTTCCCATCAGATGTCAAGGAAAGAAACAACCATCTGACTTTTAGAAGACATCTGAAGGCAGCCCTGTTTAGGGGAGTTTTCGATGTTTGATCGTGTTTTTAATATTCTGTTGGGAGCCGCCCAGAGTGGCTGGGGAAACCTAGCCAGATGGGTGGGGGAAAAATTATTATTATTATTATTATTATTATTATTATTATTATTATTATTACCCTCCAGCCCAGTGGGACTCACCCAAGCCCCACCTTGTCCCCAGCCCCACCCCCACCTTCTTCTCCTTGGCCACATCCCTCACCCACCTTGCTTTGTACCCTCCTTCAGTGCTTTTGCCCAGAATATGTCCTTGAACTCTGACAATGCCTCTTTCTTTCCCAGAGGTTGTGGGAATGTGTGTAGATGCTAGCCTATTATACAAAAGTGAAATTTACATTTGTTGCTCTGCCTGCTTTTCTTTGTGTCCCTGCTGACCACTGACATGTGGACCTTGGAAGGTTATCTAGAGGGGTGTGTGGCCTTCAGACTGACAAAGGTTCCCTGTCCCTGTGGTATGCTGGAAGGTTCAAGGACAGATTGCATTGTCAGATTTGCATGTGTTCATTCATAGGGGAGAAATTCAGTTTGCATCCAAAGGTGAATCTCTCTGATATGCACTTCCAGAAAGAATATGGGAACCAAAACCCAGCCATCGTCTGAAATCCATGTTTCACAGGTTTTTGCAGCGTAGTTCTCCACCCAAGTAATGTGTAGAAAAATGCATATACTGCAGTAAAATGTACATGAAGAAGCATCGATTAGTGAAAGTTATACTGGGGAAATATGTGTTGCCAAAATGTATATGTTAGGCAAAATTGCAGTCAAAAAAGTGTATCTGTTAAGAGAAATTAGCACTAAAATGCTGATGAATTTTGATGAGGACTTTAAAAAAAGAGTCACCAACAGATGTGGAAATGTTGGAGAACTGAACTGCAGATGGGGAAAATGCAAAACTGAAGGAAATAGAAATTGACAGATTCTTCCACCCCTAGTTATAGAACCATAGTTTTGTGGAGTTGGAAGGGACCACAGTGGTCATCTAGTTCAACTCCTGCAATGCAAACATCTTTTGCCCAATGTGGGGTTCAAACCCACAGCCCTGAGATTAAGAGTCTCATGCTCTGTGGACTGAACTGTTGCATCCTATTTCGGCATCAATCTGCATTTAAACTCCTGGTTGCCCCTCAAACTTCCTTGGCTCCAGGAGCCAAATGAGGGTGTGCGGATGAGGGGAAATCACTGTAGTTTTTGCTATTTGTCAGAAATCGTCACTGATCTACTGAAAACCACACAAATCTACCAGTAGATCCAAATCGGCCTTCTGTCCACCTGTGCTCTGTAGAAAGGATTGTGCATTAGTGAAGCCCAGTTCACCTGCAACTCTGTGCATAACTGAGGAATTATTTTGGCTTTACTGTGAACAAAATGTGGAAGTGACATTGCTAAGGGACTGGAGGAAGAAATGTTGGCTGAAACAGGACTTTTTGCCAGTAGGGAATTCCTCCAGAACAAGCAGGTGTGCATAATGAGCCTCTGGATAACATGAGAGCAAAAACCTAATTAGGTCCCAGGAACCTTTACCGTTTCTACCGCAAGTAGACACACTTACCAAGTTATTAATCCTTTCAAGGAAAGTAACAATAAGACACCTTCCACCAAGCATTTTTCACTAGTAATTGGATTTAAACTAAACTTGCCTTTCTTGATAAATGTCTCCACCTTTTCTCACAAGGGTTCTGATTCACCAGAGACTCCTTGCGACCATCTTGCCACACGTATCTGCTGACAACCTGTTCCTTTGGCTTTATATATTTATTGTTTTAGAAGTCTATAGGGATGCCCTCGTTGTTTGAGTTCCATCAGAATCGATGATTGTTTAAGAAAGTCTTGGTGGGACAATTCAGACCCTGGCTAGGCAGCAATGGCGACTCCATTACTCCGGCCCATCACATCTCACCACATTCACAGTCCCACCGGTTGGTGCAGAAGGTGGGAGGCAAGCAATTCACTGCACCAGCCTGGAGCTGACAGGGTGGCCAAGCCTTCACTGGGTCCATTGCTGTTAAGTAACTGTGGTGGGGCCAGCTTTGGGGCCAGTGGATACCAGGATGACTCAGCCCCTCACTGCCCTGAATGCCCCATTTGGGGACTTTCTGTGGGCTACATCTAGTGGGGGTCCCTGCTGGTAGAGGGACACCTCTGCCCTATCCACCAACCTGTAATCCAACCCCCAGCAAAGGGAGGTTGTCTTGCAGCCTTAGATTACTGCATTTCCTGCAAATCCTCAATATTTGGGAGTACAGTATGGTAAACTCCTTTTAAGGTGGTCTGGATGCAAACTGTCATATGCTAAAAAAGTATTTGGATCAACTGGTTTCATAAATGTGTGTGTGTGTGTGTGTGTGTGTGTGTGTACTAAATGGCACATTCTCCTGATTTCTGCATCAAAACTATTCATCCTGCTTAACTTTAGATTTAATTTTCTCATCTATACTTTTGCTATATTTTCCAAGTTCTTTTAGTTCCACCTCTGGACCTCTCCAAGTCATGAAAGGATCCAACATCTCTTGTAAATCTCTTGTAAATCTTGAGGAAATTGATTGCTGGAGACTAAAAATGTGTGACTGTTCTAGTCAATCCTTTAAGAGATGGGTCAGCTTTTGGGCAAATTTGCACATATACTTATATATGAAATTTGCCGGTTAAAACTACGCTCAAATTTAGGGGGGGAATTCTTTGGAGAAAATTGAGCCATACAACATAAAACCTGCAGGTGGAGAAGACCCCACTCTCCTCTTATTAGGTGTGTATTCAGTAATGTACATGTTCTCTTCTTGAGGTAACTTAATATCACACACACATACAGTATATGGCATAACAAATGTTACTAGACATTTACTTGTTTATTTTGGGTTTTACAAAAAGCAGAGGCTTTGCGTTTAAATTATGCTTTTTCTTCCATTGAAGATAACCATTTGAAGTCAAAATGCATTTGAGTCTTTGATATATTATCTTGATATCTCCCTCTCCCTCCTTCTGTTGGGCTTTCTGTTTTTAGAAGGATAGCTGCTGTGCTTTTCCTGCAAGGACCAACCTTGATAATTTTGTTGTAGTTATAAAATAAGTCACCTAATTTCTTCTACTGATTTATGGGCCACCTGTATGAAAATGGGATACATTGTGGAGGTACTTCTAGGTAAGAAACCCGCCAAATTACAGGTTCAGGGTTCCTAGTGTTTCTTTAATGTTGATTTGGTGGAGATCTGAAATTGATTTGCTTCCCTCTCTGTGGCTTTCTGGGCAATGGTTTTGTGATGAAAATGACATGCGCCATAGAGGCACATCCCCCCAGGAAAGTAGCCTATACAATTTCAGAAGGATAGGTGTGGGGACTAGGAGGCTATGAAAATTGGGGGGGAAGCATCAGGGTGGTCTTGTACTCAATTGGCAACAAAAGTCACAGAAACGGCGAAAAGATGGCTTGACAAGAGCAAAAGCGTGAGCCTGAAAACACTGAAGCAGAAAGTGTTAAATGTTCAGTGTTTTCCAAGCAAGCAGACCTAGCAAAGAGGACAGATCAGACAAAAACAAGGTGATATGTTACTTCTTCACCGAAGCGTTGTGATTAGAGAGCACTGGTAAAATTATTCCCACTCAGCAGAAGTTAGACCTGTTGATCAAAAAAGATCGTGCTCTCATCTCTCTCCCTCTCTCTCTCTTTCTCTCTCTCTCTCTTTCTCTCTTTCTCTCCACCCCCTCCTACCCTGGTGTTTTCCTTATCTGACAAGCTTGGGGAGAAATGTTTCAGTTTTTGCAGGCATACCATTTTGCATTTTTAAACAACATAATCTCCAAAGTGCATGTTGGAGAGATCTCGCTTCAATTCAGACAAGCCTTGAATCTGTCAGAAGAAGCGTACTTCAGTTCTGAATTCATCCAAATCATGACACAAGTGTGTGTGTGTAGACACATAAACGGATCTGCTTCCATGTGCTACACTCTATAGTACGATGATCTAAGGGAACTGTTGCTGCAGATCTCCCACCTAACTGTCCTCGCATGCCCCTAGGTTACATATATGCACATTTTAAAATCTCGTTCTGCTTTTGTATGAACTTCAGTAGAAATTCGTTAACCTTCTTAAGAAATCTCTCGTTTTTTTACCCATCTATTGGCAATGTTAACCCATGACATTTTGCTATTCTGGAGGCCAAATCTTCCTTCCCTCACCCCCAAAATAGGACCAATAGTTTAAAGATTCTTGTTGCACCATTCAGATGCCAATTTGTACTTTTGTGGTCCTGCCTTGATTTTTTGGGGGTGGTGGGGAGTGTGCAGAATAAGATTAAATTCGCAGGCATGGTCCTGACTTTAGTGGCCCTGTATATTGACTGAAATGCTCTGTTGAGAGGATCCCTCACCATAGTGGTGAATAAGCAGTGAGGAAACCAAGCCATATTTGTGTCAAAGCTGGGCTGTGCACTACAGCCACAAACTTGGAGCCATGGAACAAACTCAGTTGTCAGGACCGAAAAGCAACTCAGAGCCGCTGAGGAAATTAGAAGTCAAGGCTGACTAACAAGTCAAGACTGAAAGACAAGCCAGAATTCAGGGATGAAGAACAAGTCAAGATTGAAGAACAAGCCATGTGGCAGAATGAAGGAGCCGCTTAAGTCAAGACTCAAGAGCAAATCAGAACGTGTTGAACAGGCCAGAAGGCAGGACTGAGGAGCAAGCCCAGATACAGGAAGGTACCTCTCAGGTTGAGTGGTTCGTTTTCAAAGGAAAAATGTATAAACATTTGATTTTCCTGCCAGAATTGAACACCATTTGCAGGCACAGCCATCCCCTCTGACAGGATGAATCCTGCCCAATTTCAGAATGATAGCCACAGTGGTTCTCCCTCAAGGGCAGACCTTACCATTACGAGGTGGTCACAACAGGAAACTGGTGATTCAGTTTGGAGGAAGGTTGCTTTACAACAACCTTGCTTTACAACAAGTTTACAACAAGTTTGGAGTACAACAAGTTTACAACAGTTTGGAGGAAGTTTGCTTTCCAACAACACTACACCACACAAGCCAGTGTGCTGTAGTGGTTAAGAGCGGTGGACTCGTAATCTGGTGAACTGGGTTTGATTCCCTGCTCCTCCACATGCAGCTGCTGGGTGACCTTGGGCCAGTCACACTTCTCTGAAGTCTCTCAGCCCCACTCACCTCAGAGTGTTTGTTGTGGGGGAGGAAGGGAAAGGAGATTGTTAGCCGCTTTGAGACTCCTTAGGGTAGTGATAAAGCGGGATATCAAATCCAAATCCAACAACCCTGTTGTAAAGCAGTGGTTCCCAACTGGGTAGTATAGCCCCCTGGTGGGGAATTACCTGGGGGTGCAAAGAGGCAAGGGGGAGGCAGAGGGTGCTAGAAGTGAAAATGTCTACCAGATTTTGAAAAGCTGGTATCACTGGATCAAGTCCAATAATTTTGTTGAGTTAATTAAATTAAATAGACTTAACTGGATTTTGAATAAATGTGCAATTGTTACTGATGTGAATTCTGTCATGTTACTATCTTCATAGAGGACTGTGCAAACCGCTATAATGAATAATGCTTTTTATAGGATAGGGGGCACTGGGGATGAGTGTATGGAACCACGGGTGGGGAGTAACCCCACCCCCAAGTTTGGGAACCAATTTTATTCTCTTCCCAGGTTGCAGACGGGGGAGAGGCTAAGGCTGAGAGAAAATATCTTGCCTAAAACCACCTGGGCATTATGCCAGAGGTGAGCGATGCAGACCAGAAACTTGTATAACTCATTGTCTTAAGTCATTAGACGACATCATGCCTTAGACACTCACTTCCACAAAGGAAAAGATCGCCACTGGACATTAGAGTCACAAACTGAATTATCTGTGCCTAAAATTCTGGCCTTTTCTTCCCAATCGCCATTCATCTTGACAGGTTCCACTACTTTCAGGTTCCCAAAGTATTTGTGTGTGTTTGGGGTGGGGGGGTGGGGGCGGCAAAAGCAGAAGAACCTGACCATGTTCTCCCGTGTTTTTTAAACTAATGTGTCGCAGTTAAGTTCTCATAGATACAGTATATGCCGGTTGCCTAGGAAACAGCCGTAGAATGGGATATGATTGGCTGCATTGTCGGATGGAGTAGCAGGACTGGAAAGCTGACTTTGCCGGAGACAGATGCAGACAGACAAGGAGCTAATTTTTGAGAGTTGCAATTTGGTAATCCAACTTTCATTAGAAATTAGGTAGGGGCGTCTACCTTTGTGTCCCATGGGCTTAATTTCCTGGCACTGGGGGAAACGCTGTGCAAAGAGCCAACGACAACCCCGGATTCAGGGAGGCAAGCCAAGCAGAAGTGTGTGAGAGCTTTTATTCCTCCTCTACACACACACACACACACAGAGAGAGAGAGAGAGAGAGAGAGAGAGAGAGAGAGTCTTTTGTGCCTCATTTTCTAGACTGGCTTGAAATTAGGACAACTGACAGGCAATATCTCTGTCCCCAGACACTGCAATGCAGCAGCAGTAGGAGCAAAGAGAAGGCCCTAACCGGGAAGCAGGGATGCTTAAGGATTGGTGAATCGGTCATTTTAGCTTTATTTCTGTTTCCCATTTTTGTATGTTATTTTCACAGGTATATGCACTTTTTTAAATGCACACTTTCATCTCATATACACATTTTTGTAAGCAATTCATAGCCAGAAAAGGGCATTGCAAAAGCTGGAGTTCGCTTGTTTTTTCAGGCAGTGCGAATCAGGTAGATTTGCATGAAAATGCAAACTGAACTTCATTTTTTTCCTGCCCCTGAAGAATGCTCAGTGCTTTCCGTTTCCCATACAAATAGACCTGAACTGCACTTAGCCTGCACTAAATATTTGGAACAAAGTGCAGCTACCCGTTTGATTTATCACTTCCTCACATTTTGCAATATAGTTCTTGACTCAAAAGGAGAGGGAATGTAAGCAAAGAAACTGTGTGTGCACATCCACACACATACAACACACACACACACACACACACACACACACACAAAACACATACACAGCTATGACACTGATGCACAACACATACAAACATACACACACAACATATACATGTGCATCACATAAACAAAAGATGCACAACACACACAAACATTTATTTCATAAAAATTGTACACAGCTTGATTCAAAAAAACCATCATGTTGTGTATGTGTGCCAAACATGACACACGTGCGCAACACACACCACATACATGCACAGCACATGCAACATACATGCATAACACACACAATACAATAAACACACAGAACGCACACAATGCACACAAACATGATTGACAAAAACACAATGTATGCAGACTGCAAGCATGTCCATCACATGCCTTATGCACACATCAACAGCTGGGCAGGATATACCTAGGAACACAACACAGAATTCTGTTGTTTGCCTCTGCTTGTATTATTTTAATATCTACCTCAATACTAATCTTAATACTATCTAGAAACAATCACTTCAAGGTTCCTTCTTTTAACATACTTTGATACTTTTTTTGAGCATAGAGGTGTATTGCAAAATTCCGAGAAGTGAGAAATGTCCTTCCCATATTGTAAGAGTCTGAAAGGTGCAAATTAGGCTGCTTCACTTAAACTTGCAAACCAGATGAAATTCTCCTTTGCACCTAATTGTCAGGACAGCGTAAAGTCAACTAGAGAGAAAGTTTCCCGGTGCCGTGGGTCTCTGCATGATGCCCCCTTGACAAGTTAGCCTGATTGTAGGCTGCTGTCTGCTTGAAGTAACAGATGCAGCATCTATTCTTCTTTGTCAGATGTTGGCGGATCTGAACTTAGTGACTTGAGGAAAGCTGAGTGCACCATTTTCCTGCGTCTTCTCTCCTCATCTATCAAAACCCGGCATCCCACACCATCTGGTAAAAGTCCGTCAAACTGGCATCAGCATCTCAAGGTCACATCAGGGCCAAGAATTAGGCTGAGCATCGCCTTCCATTTCTCTCATCCCTAGAGACCTGCTTCCAGAAGTATCTCAGTGGTAGAGCATCTGACTTGCATGCAAAAGGTCCCAGGTTCAATCCCTGGTACAGCTGGGATAGAAACTTACCTGGAGCATCACTACCAGTCAGTATAGGTGACACTGAGCTAGACAAATCAATGATCGGACTCAGCAGAAGGCAGCTTCCTATGTCCCTATGTTAACTTCCGACAACATCTCTTGATATTCTTATCTCTTCCTCGTGTGTTCACCTATCTAGCTTCCCAGTTCTTCTCCTAGCTGTTCACCACCCAGTTCTTCCAAACTACTGTCTTCTGAACTAGGTCCCTCTGTGAACCACTGTTCCAAATCTATACTGTCCGACTGCTCCTGGGAAGATTCAGGATCCTGATCAGGAGCGGGTGGGGGGGAGATTCTACTTCCTTCCAAAGGGCAACTATAGCATCCATCTTTATTTTAGCCAGCACTAGATATTATAGTTGTGAACCCACTAGCATTTCTAACATGCTGTTATATGAATGGTCTGAACAGGAAATGGTACACTGCCCTACCAATCCTCAGCCTGGCCTCAGCCGTCCTTCACTTGCCTGCCTTCTTATTTACATCCATTCCAGGGAGTGGCACTGCCTGTGCCAATGCCCTCCTGCTTAGTCTCAGTTCCGACCTTGTAGAACTCAGCAAGCAAGAGGAGGATGGGGACAAAAAGAGAATTAGTTGGCTCTGCCTGTCATTAGCTCTGGCACCACCTACTGGTGGTCTCCCTGCTTTCCATCCAACCAGTCCCCATGTGTACCAGCCATCACTGCTATGTTCCTATGATTCAGAGACAGCTGTAACTATAACATTTAATCACTTAAATGCACAGAGAGAGGCCTCTGATCTGTCTATCTGTCTGTCTGTCTGTCTGTCTGTCTGCCTGCCTGCCTGTCTATACCATGATACCACCTCCCATTATTGTATTAAGTGCCACACAAATAACAAAATACATGCATTCAGTTATTTTAATAGATCGTATTTACAGATGACTAGGCAAAACAAAACAAAAAACCAGCAGCAGCTCCCCCTCCCTGTACTACATAATTCACGCTGTCTACAGCCGCAAAAATAGAAGTTGTATCATCTTACTATGGTCTGTGAAGTATGGAAAAACCTTAATTGAGCATAATCACAATATGTTAGCGGCACATGTTATTTTTTCGATTCTTCTAATTTGATATCTTGAGATTCAGAAAAGGAAAGTGATTTCTGCTCCCCGTTCCCTCCACCTTTATCCTGCTAAGCAGATGTTCGGTATCGACTTTCATAACCATTTATTTTCACAAGACATCTCCTCTCTTCAAATACCCTTTCTAAGCCTTGGACGCATTTGACACTGGTGTTTGGGAACGGAACCCTCAAAGTGCCTTTTCCTTAAATTACACCAGCCTTCCCTATCCTGGTACTCTCCAGATGCTGTTGGACTACAATTCAGCAGGGCCAGTGATATTTTTTTTGCATCATGTTTTACAAATGCACAGAAGAGCATGCCCGCATCAGTACAATGGAGAACAGCTACCTGGTAGAACATGCAGTTCTGGCCTTGACGGACAAAGATTCTGTGCTGTTATAAGGCAGCTTATTATGCCACTCAGGGAGCAGAAAAGTAGAGGGGAAGGAAGGGCAGAGGTCCTGGAGATAAAACTAAGATACAGGGAATACACAGCAGTGGAATGGTCTGTAACTCAGTGAAAGAGCATCTATTCTGGATGCAGGAAGTCCTGGGTTCAATCTTCAGCAACCCTAGGTAGGGGTTGGGGGTGCCCCATGTCTGTTAAACCCTGGAGACTTGTCTGCCAGCCAGTGCAAACGGTTCAGAGCTAGAGAAACCCTTGGTCTGAAAAAGAAGGAGGAAAACAATGTGTAGAAAGGAAATTCCCATAAAAAAACCCTGTGATTAAAACATACTGCTGCCTTCCCCAGCACTTCTAATATTGGATAGCTTTAGCATACTCAGGAATCAAAAGTTTTGTGTCACATTTGTAGGAAGTGTATACTTTTGGGGGCATTCTGCAAAGGCAGCTTTTTGTGTTCCTATGTGTGGTGGCTAATGCAAAGAACTGAGGGAGGCAGGGAGAGAGAGAGAGAGAGAGAGAGAGAGAGAGAGAGAAAGAAAGAAAGAAAGAAAGAAAGAAAGAAGTTAAGAATCAGACGCCAAAGAGAAGTCAAGAAAAGTACAGTGGTACCTTGGGTTACATACGCTTCAGGTCACAGGTGCTTCAGGTTACAGACTACACTAAGCCAGAAATATTACCTCGGGTTAAGAATTTTGCTTCAGGATGAGAACAGAAATCGCATGGCGGCAGCGCGGCGGCAGCAGGAGGCCCCATTAGCTAAAGTGGTACCTCAGGTTAAGAACAGTTTCAGGTTAAGAACGGACCTCCAGAACGAATTCAGTTCTTAACCCGAGGTACCACTGTACTGAGTAGGAATTTTGCTGTCTTGATTAGTGCAAATGGGTCTATTACTATGACTTCGCCTGACAAGACTAATGGACAGTCAGGGACTTGACGAAATAATGTTAATGTTCCTTAATGGCTGGGGATGTGTTTAGCATGGAAATTGCTCCCACCTGCCTTTGGAATGTGACCAGAACTAATGGAAGGGGTTCAGTGTTGACACAGAAGGAAAGAAAGCCTTGAATTTAGTGGGAACGGAAGGAACAGGCTGGATGTCTACAGGCTCCTCGTGATAGCCTGTTTGTTAAGCCTTCATCCCTGTTGTATTGGCATAAGTCTTATCCGGAGGTTAAACGTTGTCCAGGTTTTATGTCTGGGAATGGCTCAGTGACACAGCACACAATTTACTTGCAGGTGCTCCCAGGCTCTGTCTCCAGCATCTCTACATACAGTTGGGGATATCATTTGCCCGAAACCCTTGAGAATCGCTGCCAGTCAGAAAACACAGTACCAAGCTAGATGGAGCATTGGTCTGACTCTGTATAAGGAAATTTCCTGTGTTATTAAGCATTTGTTTGCTTGCAGGGAGGTTATACAATAATGAGCATTGATCCTGATTTGCTTGTGGGGCCTTTATATGTCTTCCAAGAGAGCCAGTGTGGTGTAGTGGTTAAGAGCAGTGGACTAGTAATCTGGTGAACCGGGTTTGATTCCCTGCTCCTCCACATGCAGCTGCTGGGTGACCTTGGGCTAGTCACACTTCTCTGAAGTCTCTCAGCCTCACTCTCCTCACACAGTGTTTGTTGTGGGGGAGGAAGGAAAATGAGATTGTTAGCCGCTTTTAGACTCCTTCGGGTAGTGATAAAGCGGGATATCAAATCCAAACTCCTCCTCCCCTTCCTCTTCCTCCTCCTCCTCCTCCTCCTCCTCCTCCTCCTCCTCCTCCTCCTCTTCTTCTTCTTCTTCTTCTTCTTCTTCTTCTTCTTCTTCCTGTTGATCATTCGTTCATCCAACACATTTCACCACATTTCCCCATCACTTTCCTAACTGCAGAAAATTTGTTTTTATTTTATTTTTAAGCCTATTTATGGCACTAGGGCAACAGAGCACTTCAATCGCGCAGACCTCAACTTCTGGTATGCCCTTGAATCCCTCCCCCTCAAATATTGACAGTCTGGGAGCACGCTAAGCACTGCCTTGGTTGATCTGGGGGGTTGAAAAGAGGATTTCCAGTTGTGCTGCCTCCTGCAAGGATCTGTTTATATCAGCTTTGCTCTGCTTGTGTATTTGTAAATAAATATCATAAAGACACCATGAAGTCCCCACAGTGCTGTCTCATCAGAAAGAAAGTGAATCCAGTTGCGTTGCCCTTGGATGCATGATTGCTCGGGGAAGAGGAGAGCACTTTGCCATTATTATTTGTCCACCAGAATAAAAGCGCAGAAGACAAAGAGGGTGGAAAGAGGGAGAGTCGTGAATCAAAGCCAGAGAGAGGGGACAACACAGGGGGGCCAGGGGGACTGCTGATAACCTCTGTGTAAATGTTAAAAGGATGGAAATAAGTAAATAGCAGTTGGGAATCAAGGGATGAACAGGAGCAGGCAAGAGGGCGGAAGAGGAGAAACGGAAAGCAACAGAGTGAGGAAAAATGAACATCAACTCTACCACCGCAGCCAGAGGAACATAGGGGAAAGAGAGAAAGGTTTCCTAAAGACTGAACAGTGGAAAGGACAAAGAGGAGGGTGATGGAATCAGCCTTCATTTAAGAACAAGGGTGGGCACTTGCAGACCCTCCAAGTGTCCCTATTTTCCAAGGGCAATCCCGTATTTACCAAAGTGCTCCTACTTTCTGATTTGATCCTAGGTGTCCTCCTTTTCCTTAAAACACCCCTATTTTCATCAGAGAAATTTTAGACAAAGGAAGAAAAGAATCGTGGAAGGAAAATAACAAACACGAGTACTTTAAAAGCATATCCCTCCCTGGGGAATACACCTTGAACTAGTATGAGGTTATTGCATTCCAAATATGAGCTGAATTGCCTAGAGGTCCTTGTCAGGACAAATTAAATACATGCAAAGGCTTAAGCAGGGTGTTGTGGGGTGGGCTTTCTTTTTCTTGCTCTTTTTTGGTACATTACCTGCCGTTCGGCATAGCAAAAACTCAAGCAGAATAATCCGAAAGAGACAAGAGTTGGGGGAAATTCACACGGTGATCTTAAATCAACCTTGCAGTTTGGCACAACGTGTCCTCCAGATTCAAAATATATACATTTTAATAAATGCATGACATCTCCACTAAGGACAAGGAGAAGAGAGGCCCAGCGTTCTCATCAGCATAGCTTTAAATCTTTTGCAACTACGGCTGCCCAGGTGGCACCGTAACGGCAACTCATCAACAGGGAAATAAGTGTGCAGACTGTATTAGATTGCCTACCTGGGTGGTTCTGCCATTAAAAGGTATTTCTGGTAGTCCAACTGAGGCCATATATCTGATTCCCAGAGTGTTTCAGGGAACCTTTTAGTTCATCCAATTCCTCACTATGACAGAGCTACCTATATGTATTGGCAGCTCTTTTGGTACTGCTGCTGAAGAGCATTGCTTTGTGTTCCTTTCCCAGCGCTTGGGAGCATCTTGAGGTCACAGCACACCATTGCACAGTCTGTGGCTCAGTGGTAGGACATTTGCCTCTCATGCAGAAGGTCCCAGGCTCAATCCCTGGCATCTGCAGATCGGGCTGGGAGAGACTTCTGCCTGAAACACTGGAGATCTGATACCAGTCAGTGTAGACAATACTGAACTAGTCTGCTAAGGGTATAAGGCAGTTCCTACATTCTCAACAGACAGCATCTTAAAAAGCAGAGACATCACCTTGCTGACAAAGGTCCGTATTGTTAAAGCTATGGTTTTCCCAGTAGTGATGTATGGAAGTGAGAGCTGGACCATAAAGAAGGCTGATCGCTGAAGAATTGATGCTTTTGAATTATGGTGCTGGAGGAGACTCTTGAGAGTCCCATGGACTGCAAGAAGATCAAACCTATCCATTCTGAAGGAAATCAGCCCTGAGTGCTCAGTGGAAGGACAGATTGAAGCTGAGGCTCCAATACTTTGGCCACTTCATGAGAAGAGAAGACTCCCTGGAAAAGCCCTGATGTTGGGAAAGATGGAGGGCATAAGGAGAAGGGGCGACAGAGGACGAGATGGTTGGACAGTGTTCTCGAAGCTACCAACATGAGTTTGACCAAACTGCAGGAGGCAGTGGAAGACAGGAGTGCCTTGAGTGCTCTGGTCCATGGGGTCATGAAGAGTTGGACATGACTAAACAACTAAACAACAACATTCTTAACAAATGCCCAACACAGGATCACTCTGGGGCATTGCAGGCAATTAAAATGGCAGCTTCCTGACCAGAAAGTACTGCTTAGAGCACTCCTACTACCTACCTGACACCAGTGTCAGGTAAGGTCCACCAGGATGTGGCAGCAGAGACCCACTAGGGAACACTTTTACCAAAGCCCCCTCAGACTTGGATCTTGCCCAGGGCATCTGCAATATGAATACTTCCTGATGGCATTCCTAAGAATGTTCATTCACAAGCATGTACTGTGTTAACTGGGGTTTGGTTTCAGGTAAGTGTGATGGTCTGACTCACAGAAAAGCATCTTCCTTTGCTCATTTTTGCATGTGCTAGCCATCAGCTAGAACTGCCATCCAGAAGATAAGGATCTTTAAGAGATCATAAGGAAGACTATGGGTCAATGCCAACACACCTGCTCAATGTGAAAATGACCCCCAATTCATTCCCCAGAACAGGGGTGAGAAACCTTTGGCCCACCAGTTGTTCCTAAGCTACACCTCTCATCATCCCCAGGTGTAGGCTATGCTGGCTGGGGTTGATGGAATCCAGCAGCATCTGGAGGGCCACAGGTTCCTCTAGGATTCCTAGTTAGAGCTGCATACAAATGGCAAGTCGTTATTCTTCACTTATTGGTGGGCAGTGACATTGCAGGGACCATTTCACCAAATTTCTCCAAGAGGAGGAGGAACTCTACAAAGCAGTTTTCCAAAAAAATATAGTGGGTTGGGTTCTTTTTTAAGCAGCTCCGATTTGGGTAGCTGGTACCTGAATTAACACTTCTCCTGAGCCAAAGAGAAGCACAGTTTCCCATCTCTTCTGTAGGTTGAGCTGAAAAAGAGAGACTGCCCTAACCTTTAACAAGGGCAGTGCCCTTGGTTAATAGCAAAGGCCTCGTGTTAGCACAGCCGCCATTTCCCTTGGTGCCGTAAGCGCTGTGCTCACAGCTTTGAAATTGGCCGTTTGTTCTTTAATCTGGGGCATCCTTTCTGATGTGTTTAGCACATTCAGAAATGTTAAGAGCAACTGGTAGGGAAAGGGGAAGAAATCCTTAGGAAGACTTAAAAGTTGGATATAAGAAAAAATGACTTCTCACGGTAGACATAAAGAAATGGGAACCATTCCAGAATGTCTGAGCGGGGAGGACAAATACTAAAGTTAGGCTGGCTGATCTTATGCTCTCTGTGATTGTGTTTGCACTGACGAATAAAGACTTCCCTACCTTTAAGGGGACAAAGGCTGCAATCCTAACCCCACTTACCTATTGAGTAGGTAAGTTGAATTCAATCGGACTTATTGGTAGCCATGATGGAGGTGGTGCTGTGTAAACCAATGAATTGACAAAGCTGCATTTTGATCTGTGGCCACATTTGCACTGCAATCCTTTACATGGCTACTCAAAAGTAAGCTGCAATGAGTACAGCATTGCAGCTGGAGTCTCCGAAAGGACTTACCTAAGTGCACTTGCTGTGGTCTTCCAGATGTTCTGCATTACATCTCCCATCATCCCTGACCATTGGACTGTGGATGATGGGAGTTGGAGTCCAAAAACATCTGGAGGACCCCATCCCTGTGCTAGAGAGTAAACTGCACAGTACAAAGTAGGACTTGCTTCTGAGTAGGGTTGCTTGAAGAGTTCAATCTTGGTAAATTCACATATCAATTAACTGGATCTACACCTCCCACTCTAGCATGAAAGTTGGAATGCAGCTGTCCACTGGAATTCACACTGCTCCAAATCTTGTGATAGAGATTGATTTGATTTGGTATATTGTATTTCTATACCGCTTTTCATTCAAATGAATATCAAAGCGGCTTACAATCAAGAAATAAAAGTAACAGAACAGAACAAAACAGAACAGAACATCACAAATATAGCATGAATCATATAAAATAATTAACAAATCATCAATAAAACACTACTAACAAAACAGCAACTAAAAAATAAGCTGAACATCACAATTACAGCAAAAGTCATATTATATGATTAACAAATCAATTCGGCATTTATAATCTATAAAACATTATTAGCAACATTAACAAAACAGTAACTTGAAAAAATAAGCTAAGCACAGTTAACTTCATACAACACTCTCCACACACCCAAGTCTATACTTGGTAGGAGTGGGGAAGAGGTACCATTTTCTGCTCTGCACCAAGAAGCAAAATGTATGGGACCTTAGTTCTTGGGGGGAGGGGGGAATGCAGCAAAATGGGTCTAGAAACTTATCTTGAAAGAACAGGCATTGCACAATACATATTATGAGAGAAAATACATGCAAAATTCCTATTTAAATACACATTTAAATGCAAATCACCATGAAGATTTAAAAACTAAAACAGATTGATATAGAAATGGAACAGAATGGACCTATGGGTGAGCAGATGTGAATACGACACTGGTCAGAAAGAGATTTATTTATCCATTCCTCCTTCTAAGTAAGCATCGCTGCTGTAAGGCATGGGAGAGAAACTTCTGTGCAAATTGTGGCCCTCCAAACATCTCTATTTGGCCCTCAGGATTCTCCCCACACTACCACCAGACAGCCACACACCCATCTACCCCAAACCACCCCTCTCCCCAGTCCCATATCACAGTTTCCTTGAGGGTTGTTTGTTTTGTTCTTGTTGTCTGGTTGGGTTGAGTCCTTGCTTGCCTGGATGGGAAGTGGTTGGGTATGTGTGTCAAGAGCTCTCCCTCTCTCCCTCCCCTCCCCCCCTCTCTGTGTGTGTGTGTGTGTGGTAACTAGCCTACTGTTAAAAATAAAATTCACATTTCTTGCCCCACATTCTTCGCCTCTGGTTCTGCCCAACACTAGCATGTTACCCCCCAGAAGAGAATTCAGCCCTCAGGCTGAGAAAGGTTTGGAACAATGAATTATACAAACCATCACGATACTTGCAAGATAACTGTTTCTTGCACGCATTATTTTCTTCCTCTCTCAGTTTTCCTCTTTCTGAGTTCTTTCATTTCTGCAGTGCTTTTCAGAATCATTGCTCTTAAACCCTCTCCCAGCCTGCACACCGGTTAGCCATTTCAAGCATTTAACACTGGATGGTGTTCAATTTTCAGTAACAGGCTGCCACCTGTAAGACAGAAGGATAAAATGGCTGCAGATCTCATTGGGACACCCGGGTGGAAAATAGATGTTTTTAAACTGTTTTAGATTTCACTTCCTATTGTTGCCAACCTTATACAACAGGCAGCGAACCGTTCAACCATTCCTCATAATGCTTGGTTTCCAGACGCTTGATCATCTTGGTCACTCTCCTCTGCACATGTTCCAACTTGTCAATATCCTTCTTAAATTGTGGTGCCCAGAACTCCAGGTGTGGTCTGAGCAAGGCAGAATAGAGTGGTACTATTACTACCCTTGATCGGAACACTATACTTCTGTTGATGCAGCCTAGAATAGAATTCCCTTTTTATTTATTTTTTTGCTGTTTCATCACACTGTTGACCCTTGTTAAGCTTGTGGTCTACTAAGACACCTAGATTCTTTTCACATGTACTACTGGCAAGCCAAGTGTCCCCCATCTGATATTTGTGCAGCTGGTTATTCCTGCCTAAGTGTAGAACTTTATATTTGTCCCTATTGAAATTATTTTTGTTAGTTTGGGCCCAGTTCACCAATCTGTTAAGGTCATCTTGAATTCTGATTGTGTCCTCTACGGCATTAGCTACCCCTTCCAGTTTGCCATCATCTGCAAATTTGATGAGCAACCCCTCAATTCCTTCATCCAAGTCATTTCGTAAAGATGTTGAACAAAAACAGGCCCAGGACAGTACTTTGCAGAACCCCACTTGTCATTTTTCCCCAGGATGATGATGAACCATTAGTGAGCATTCTTTGGCTTCAGACAGTCAACGAGCTACAAATCCACTTAACAGCTACCTCATCCAGCCCATATTTTACCAGCTTCTCTGCAAGAATGAGGGCTTTTTCAAATACCTTACTGAGATCAACATACACTCCATCCATAGCATTCTTTTGATCCACCAAGCTGCTAACTCTGTCAATAAAATAAATGAGAATCATCTGGCATGACTTCTTTTTGAGAAACCCACTCTGAGTCTTCGTAACCACAGCATCCTCTTCTAAGTGCTCAAAGACCAGCTGTTCAATTATCTGTTCTAGGACTTTTCCTGATATCAATGTCAAGCTGACCAGCTGATAGTTACCTGGGTCTTCTTCTTTTTCCTTTTTTGAAGATGGAGACAACATCTGCCCAACTCCAGTCTGCAGGGACCTTACCCATTCTCCAAGAATTCTCAAAGATTATAGACAGAGGCTCTGAGATGAAGGCTCTTTTAGTACTCTTACCACCTTGTTCCCTATCTTGGGCTGCAGCTCCCTCCTTACATCATTTATTC